TGACTGTACTATTACAGTGAAGTGACTTGTCCACCAAGATCATGCGATCTTACACCATGCGAGTCTTTCCTGTAGTCGAAAGTTAATTCTGCTCAAATGAATACCATTCTTGAATTAAAGGCAGAAATTAGGAGAGTAATCAACGAAAAGCAGCAGGTATGCGAAAGTGATATACAAGATTTTCTTCGAGTATGCCAAATGAGTCGCAGAAGACATCTGTCCAATATCCTCTTTCATATTTAATGACAATGCCTATCCTTAAAGAACCTGTAAAAACTTCGCCAACTTTTTAATTAATAAAATCTTTTTTCCCCATATGAAATCTTGCGTTTATTTCGGGACACCCTCTATAATTGAACGGCTTTTGCTATAAAAAATAATATCAGATTTAATTTCTGGAACATAAGATAACGACTCTGTGGTTTTCTGCTTATTGTACTGGAGGAGTTTCCATCTACAACATTTATCAATTTATTTTTAGTAACGTTACCGTTTTCAAGAATAGTTTCCATATGGATTTCTGTTAGCTGATTAATGATACCAATTTTTTTCCACTCCTCGGTTCCCTTACAAAAAGCTTTTGAGGTAATGGACCAAAGCTTTCGGAACGGGTAGTACATAAAACTAATTTAACAGCAAAATGACTAGCTGTCATATTAAATGGACTAGGACCGACCCATTTAGGGAAGGATTATGGGCATATTACGTCTGGCGAGAAGTAAATGAACGTTGCTTAGAAGATTGTTCAATTACACAAAGTACTTAGGCCTCTGTTATGGCATATTATGATATTAAGGGGAAGGAAGGCAGATAACAGGGTTTGAATAATGAAACTTGCAAAAATCAAAGTTATTCCGAAAATAATATATTATTTAAAATTTACACTGTTTACTATAAATATACATAGTACAGAAAATACGACCAACTACAATTTGTGCCACAAGTTATTAAGAAATGTGTTTGAAATGTATTTAATTTAACTATAATTTTGTGAAATATATTCCTCTTCTGTTTTATTAAAAGATGAATGCAAACGTGTTAAATAATTACTGTTAAAATTTCATAGATACTTATTTAATGAACATTTCTACATATTCTAGTTTTGCTACCACATTATTATTAAAATGTTGCTAAATACTTTAATAAATGTTTACAAATTTTATACAAATTATCTAGGGATCCTGAAAAAAGTTATAACCATATTAATTACACATATAAATTTTATCTAAACAAGTTAAAGTTGCAAAAGCAACAGAGATAAATAGAGGAAAGAAAAGAAGAGATTTTGAGAAAAACTGAAGTCCAAATATGATAAAATATTTGATACATACTTTCTCTGGTGCTAAATAATATACTTGATCTTATATATCGTATGTACTACTTCCATTTATTTTTCAAACAAAATCAGTTATTATAATTTGTTTTGAAGAAAATTTTATCTTAACCATACCACGAGTTTCTATACGTCACAGACCTACAGCAGATTAACACAATATAACAGAAACGTAAAAGATACAGGTGTAACAAAATACCTTTACTTAAGAGGGCTCTATAGCAAATAGGCAACCAGCAATACATTTTTATAGATTTAATTACACAGTTTTTCTTAATGCACAAATAACAGATTTTCCCCCACTTTAACGCAGATTTGGTATAAAGTGGACTTAGTCTGAAACTTAAATAACTTTTTGGTATAAAGAAATTTGTAATCTGCTTGTTCAAAAGCGGTAAATTAATAAATAATAAATAATATTATTTATAAAATAATAATAAATCTATAAAAATGTATTGCTGGTTGCCTATTTGCTATAGAGTTCCCTTAACTTTTTAAAGATGTCTAAAGAATTTTAAGTAAAAACTCAAAAATAAGGAAAGGTCAGTTAACTTACTTTACTTTTGAAAGTTTGAAACATATACCTACCATTACAAATAATTATTGAAATGTATTTGGATATTTAATATTCGTTCATGTTCATAACTGAAAGTGGTTTAAAGCTCCTTATTTATGAAATCACTGCGAAATTATGAGAAGATGTAGAAATTCTTGATTGAGATGTAGATGGTGGAGAAGATATTTAGCAAAGTGACCTGCGTTTATGACGATAATGGTGGTTTAAATTGTTTTTACTTTCTCTTTACTCAACTTTTGATACAAGTGTTTCGATTGAAATTAAAATTTGGTTTTCATTCTTTAGTATGAATAAAGAAGGTATTGTAAAATGAAGATTTTTTTTTTTTTTTTTGGCCAATAAGATTGACTCCAAATTTTTAATTTTATGCAACTTGGACAATCAAAACTCATTTATGTTACATCTCTTTCAGTGATGGAAGGACCATAATGAAAATATGTTTTACTTCTCTTTAGTTCTGCAAATACATTGTTTGTCTGTTTCTTGATAAGTGTTAGTGTGCCAATTTTACTTCTTGAATTTTCTCAATTCTTGAAAATTTGCACAATACGAATTTAGAAGTATATTCATCAAATTATATTAAATAAGAATATTATTAATATCACTATAATAAAATTAATACATCTTTTCGTATTAAATGAAAGTATACAGGCTGTTTCATGGCAACTTTTTGCCTTCTAACAAATCGCATAATCAATTTTTATATGTAAAGTTTCGTCTATCCACGACCATCATCAACTTAATTTTTTTTAAATACGACCCTGGAAATTTTATTACATTTTTTGCAAGCGTTTGTAACCCCCAATATTGTACTGCGAACCTAATTCAGACTCTTGTCTCGAAAATTTCATCTTCAATGTATTAGTTCCAAACTTCTCTAATATTTTTTTTAGGTTTCTACGTTTATTGAATTATCGCACACTCTAAGTGTCGTTAGAATCCACCTAGTTATTTGAACTATTACCATTACACGTTACAATAAAACATAATTAGAGTTGTTTCAATCTCCATCACCTGATCATACATAATTCTCTGTTGTTGCGTCAAAATTAAAACGATATTACAATTTTAATTTCATGATGAAAAATTAATTCTTAAAATGCATATGAACAATTAAAACTCCAAATGAATATTTACAGTAAATGTTCAAAAACGTTTTCATTTTGGCAAATGTTAAAAATGAAGATAAGCATAATATGATCGGAATTTATTATATTTATAACCGCAATTGTGAAAAAGTATATCAGATGTATTTGTATGAATATCCTGAAAAAAATTAGATCGAAATTTTTTTGAATTTTGAGCACTCGAGAAGCCTAGAAGTAACTATGAGCACGGGATTAATTCTACTTCAATAATGTTTTATTGTAACGTATGATGGTAATAGTTTAAATAACTAGGTGGATTTTACAGGGTCTAACGACACTTGGAGTGTATGATAATTCAAGAAACATACAAATCTAAAAAAAAATAAATAAATTCGGAACGAATACATTGAAGATTAATTTTTCGAGACAAAACGTCTGAATCTGGTTGAGCCAGTACAGTATTGGGGGTCATGAAGGTTTGCAAAAAATGCAGGGTCGTATTTAAAAAAATAAAGTTGATGATGGTTCTGGAGATGAAACGTTACATATAAAAATTGATTCTGCGATTCCATAGAGGGCGAAAAGTTGCTATGAGAAAGTGTTCTCGTTTTTCAATATCACCTCAAACAAGGCTGAAATGAAACAAAAACAGATTTCCAAAACTTCAGTTTTTTTCAAATATTTCGAAAACTAATCATGACCGTTTCCGAAATCTGTAACGAATTTGTAACAGCCTGTATATGATAAATGATTTGAATTATTGTAATTGTATTTTTTTGTAGCATATGGTCCAGTACAATATAGGGACTAACTTTTTACAATCAAGTTTTCCGTGTTTTTATTTTTCAAAACTGAAAAATAAATAACAAATTCCAGTACCTAAACGCTAAAACATGTTTTCTTTATAATTTAATCCCTATTCTAGCCATTTACTAGAGTTATGACAGTATTAAATGCAAGTTTACAGGGTGACCTACTTTTCTACTTTTTTATTTTTAGAGATACAGAATGCTATTTTGAAAATTGAGCTATTTCTTCATTTTCCTGAATTATTAAAAAAAAACATAAAATTGTATTTTTTTTAATGTTAAGCACTTCGATACCGTAAACGCTAGAAAAATTGTGAAAACATGGATTAATATATAAGTTTTAAGTAGAAATGACTACTAGGGTTTCCGAGATTTCATAGTTGCCTATGACCAAAGAGTTTATAGATGCCTATGCTTTGTTATTACATAGTAAAGTAGAGAAAGTTGACTTTCTTTAAAGAAAAACTTTACCCTTTAGTTTCTAATAAAATATAATTTGATTTGAAAAATATTGTCCACAGTAAGAAAAATCACATTAAGTATAATCCGTACGATATTTGTTGAGATAGAATTCCAAGAAGACCCCTGCGTCACTTTCTTGGATTTAACCGCATTCGACACCCGAGGTAGAAAAACGGCGGAAAATTTCAAGGTACGCTCCTACCGTGGTAAATTCTTACAGTCCGATAATTTTCTATCAACAAATATTTTACGGACTGTAGCAGCACCTAGGAAGATGTCTGAAAGTACAAGAACTGGTGAATATTTTAAATGTTTGATGAATTGGAAATATGTGGTTCTTTGTTTTCTAATGGGTATATATGTCAAAGATAATATTCAGCATGTTCCAGAAAGGTTGTTTTTCCGTAAAACCAAAGGACCCTTTTATAATACTTTTTAATGATCTCTAAACTGATGTTTAATTTAATGGAAATCTACAAAAAAGTTATAGTCAATTTTCTGCGCCAATAAGGGTGATAAGGCAAATAAGGAGTTTTTATTTCGTAGGTTTAGTTTGTTACCAGCAATATCAAATTCGAAAAAAAATTATTTTTTGATATTGTTTCATTGCAATACAATTTTTTTAATATGTTGACGAAAGCTAATTTAAACAATCCTATTTTCAGTATTAATACTTTCTTTCCTCTTTCATTCAACTTATATGTATAATAAAAGAGATTTCGCTATTTCAGATATATCAGAAGGTGCTAGCGATAAGATGTCCTTACCGGCAGACGATAACAGTATAAAGGATTCCTATTCAGATAGCAACAGAAATATAAGGCCGCCTCCTCAAATTGATATACTGGCCCCGCCGCCTATCTCAAATCCCCAGAAATCCTCTTTAGTAAGTACATTTCATTAAAACATAAATTTAAAATAATCCTTCAAATCAAGGCTCTACTAATACTCTCCCTATCTCTGGAATATTTCATGGTTAAATAACATTTATTCAAAGGAAATATTCCAACTGATTATAATTTGTTGATGAAATTTAAGTATGAATTTTAAGAATAGCACAGACGCTCACTAAGAACTTAAAATATGGTACACTTAATTTAAAAAAATGAATATTGTTTTTTGTTGAAAATATATTTATTACACAGCTCAGTCAAGTACCGTAAAGTAACTCTAAAACTACTCCATTCACAAAAAATATATTTCAATTGAAGTATTACACCGAGTAGAACTTTATTTCTGACTTCAGATGTGCAGGTACAATGTGTGTATTTTTGTTAAATAGCTGCAAATTTGTAAATCACATTAGTGATATTTTTGCCTTTTATTAGTTAAATCCTTAACACAAATTCCATCAAATTGTTTATATTATCTAAATAATTGATACTTTCTCAAATTTCGATACGCTGTATCTCGTAAATCAAAGCTACTGATGTTGCCCTTTGTTGATTAAGACTTCTTGATTATCTAAGAGAAACCTCTGAGGTTATTATAAGTAACACAAAGTACAGCTTAATCAAACTCATCTTGTCTCGGAGAGTCAAAAAGAACGTCCGTAGTAAGAGCGACAAAAAGAAGAGACCTTAATATTCCTTCTGTGCAAAAATTTTCCTTATGTCTGGTAAATATAGTTATTTAATCAAGGTTTTATATTATAAACTTGTACCACCAAACTAGATTACACAGCCCCACAAAAAAATGTCGTGATCTGGATAATTGATCATGATATTCTTATGTATGTCAAAAAAATTCCCTTAAATGTTTGTGTAGAGCAAAAACATCCCTTAAATAGAGATAAAGTTATGAATATCGATAGCATTACGAAAAGGAGTATGTATGGGCACTTTGCAACCCTCATGCTCTCATTTAGTATTGCTAAGGATTCCCCTGAAGGGGTTGGTATTCCTTCCACGTCCCTTCTACTTCTATGCCCTTCCGAACATAGATCTGCGTCATGAAAGCTTCTAACTTACAAGCCCTTGAAAATGCAAAATGCAATAGGGACATGATGGAGCACTGAGCAGAACACCCCTCAATTGCTTTGCCCGTACCCGTCTAAGGGGTGGAAACTACCTACTTTGTTCTTATTTTATTCTATGTTGGCTCTCTCTTATTTCTTATGTTACACTATTGTTGTCTATTTTGTTAACTCTTTACAGGTTTTTTCTTCACTTTCGCTGTCGTTAGTATCAGAATTAAAAGTGTTGTCTTCACCAGTCGAATTATCATCATTATGAAGGTTTATAATAATTTGTTCAATAGCCAAGCGGAGCACAGACTCTAATGTCATTAAGTCTGTTTCATTTTTTTTTGTACCAAGTATTCCATTCTGGTGTAAATGTGTCGAAAAATTCATTGCACAATTTTTCTACGAATGTCAAAGAGAAAGTATCATTTTTGGTAGCGAAATATTGTTTCAGTGTTTAATCTGGTAACGTTGCCACTGCGCATCTAAAATTCACGGATTAGATGAATTTGGTCAAGCTATAAGTGCATGCACTAAGAATATTGTACCTATGCTTTAGAGAGTGTTTTTTGACAAATGGCAATTGTTTATAGAAAAACATTCCATGGTGTAAGTATGCTGGAGTTCCACTTTACCCATCAAGCGAGGATTTGATAGACATATATAAGTTAGTTAAGATTGTAACAAGTTCTTTTCTAGTTTCGTGTAGTAAAGCCTTGGTAAACGCGTGAAGTAACGTCCCAGCCCTTAGGGCCACGTTGTTTGTTTTAGTGAATAAAATTGACGGTTTTTTCCTTTTTATTTATTCATTTTATTCGCTACAAAAAGTAATGTAGCCGTCTGCTCCTACCGACTGCCGCGTGCCGCCGACTTTGGAAGTATGGCATATTGCCTATTACGCCTCATTTAGTAAATATTTATGTATGAATAGCAGGTGCTGCATAAACATAAACTTTGTATTTCTTTCAATTCTCTGTTTGCGTCAAAAACTAAATAAATAACACCAATTTATATTAGTTTACTCACTAGTGAGTTTTCTTGACTACGTTCAGATAAGGCAATAATGACTGGATACAGACAACATCGCTCTCGACAACAGTTTTTGGATTCACTTATTTTTATCAGAATACGTGTATCCGGTTGTTACTTGTCCATACAACTTCCCCCATAGGCTTATAGCTTTTTTTCGGGAAAAAAACACTATTAGCAGTTTTTTTGCAGAATATTGTTCAGAAAAAAAAATAAGCCTATAAAATGAGACGAGTCCGATTAAATTCCGATAATTTGTTTATGCGCAAGAGCTCAAAAATGATCGGAAATGGTCGTTTTCTTCAATTGTTAATAATTAATGCAATTTTCATCGCAGACACTTATAATTCAGGATTTTTTAGGCTTTTTACACCCTTAATAAGTGGTACAAATTTCAGCCCGAAAGCTTCATTAGTTTGGCGTTGGCGGAATTTGTTATCTAAGAAGATGCTATTTTCAATTGATTTTTCCCAAGCTCAAAGGCGTTGTAGAGTTTCGATCAGTAGTTGTTTTTGTACCTGAATAGTTGTATTGACATATGCATTTACTGAGAATTTAATTTTTCAAATTTAATTTGTTCAAAAATGACTGAAAAAATGTTAATATTTATTAAATTATTAAGATAGGTATTATAAAACGAAATACTAACGCCTATAGTTTAGTTAGTGCTATTTTTCTTCGAATTTAAAAAATCGTTGTTCTAAATTGATTAGAAGCTGAGACAATTATTTTTTTATTTAATCGCAATGTCCTTAATTATTAAGAGGCGGAATTTGGAGAGAGTATACATTAAGAGCTATATTTTCATATCCTACATTAACAATAAAGTTGAATTCAACTATTTAATTGCAAAAAAGAAGATAGCGGCGATGCGTTCCATGACTCGGTCTAGCGAACGAGTGGGAAGAGTGAGGCTAAATAAAAAATTAAATCTCGGGTTGAAATTATGTTAATACCATAGCTTCAATGCTCATGAAATTTCGCACTACAATAAATTAAAAAAAGAATCATCTCGATAGGTTCATTATTAACCGATATGACTAATTTTTCCAGCTCCATCGATTTGAAGCCGCTCGATCATTTTCCTGTGCGCTACAAGGCGCGTATCGCGCATGCTCCGTCTCGCTCTCCACACGCGTTCGCTAGAACGAGTAATAGAACGCATCGCCGCTGTCTTTTTTTTTGCAATTAAATAGTTGAATTCATCTTAATGTTAATGTAGGGCATGAAAATATAGCTCTTAATGTATACTCTCGCCAAATTTCGGCTGTTAATATTAATAATTAAGGTCACTGCGATTAAATAAAAAAAAATCTCAGCTTCTGATTAACTTAGAACAACGATTTTCTTTTAAAAATTTGAAGAAGAATAGTATTAACTAAACTATAGAGGTTACTAATTCATTTTATAATAATTACTTATCTTAACGATTTAATAAATATTAACATTTTTTCAGTCATTTTTAAACAAATTAAATTTGAAAAATTAAATTCTCATTAAATGCATATGTTAATATAACTATTTAGGTACAAAAATAACTCATGATCGTAACTATCCAACGCCTTTGAGCTTGGGAAAAATGAATTGGAAATAGCATCTTCTTAGATAACAAATTCCGCCAACGCCAAACCATTGAAGCTTTCGGGTTGAAATTTTTACCTCTTATTAAGGGTGTGAAAAGCCTAAAAAATCCTGAATTACAAGTGTCTGCGATAAAAATTGCATTAATTATTGGCAATTGAAAAAAACGGCCATTTTCGACCATTTTTTAGCTCTTGCGCATAAACAAACTATCGGAATTTAATCGGACTCGTCTCATTTTATAGGCTTATTTAATACCTACCTATTTTGTATAAACTTTTTTTCACTATGAATAATAGTTTTTTCACGTGAGTCAAAACACCACTCTTCCATAACTTTGACCATTGTTTAAACAAAGTTTCCCAACTAACCTCGAGTAGATTTTTTGATATTTTGTTCATAACACGTTTCCGCAGAGAAACTTCTAATAGTATTTTTGTCCCGAAATAGGTTGTTTCATGTCTATAATGACTGGACTACCAGTAGAAGCGCGAAAAACACTAGCGACAGATTTACAGCAACTTCCAACTTGAATAGGTGACGAGATTAGCTGCGAGAAAACTCATCGAAATATTGAATTCCGCGAAATGTAGCCACCTTTGCTGACTGACGTTGTCATTTCATTCCGAGCTGATCTGTTCCAAATAGTTTCTATTTAGAAATGTAGGTCACTAAACTACTGTAATAGACCTCCTAGCTAGGCTTTTATTAGCAAAATTTCAATACATGTGACATTGGTAACTAACAGTTACAATTATGAGAATAGGTATTTATAAATAAATAGATAGTTACTTCATAATTCATTAATCACGGCATTCTCTCCGGCAAAAGAAATCTTGAAGTTTTGTGAACTCAAAAGAACTTCAGAAGCACGTTCTAAAGTTGCATTACTAGTAGTATCATCAATACAATCGATACAAGTTTCTGCTATCTTAGAGTTACCTGAATGTCCTGCCATTGCCATCTCAGCATTGGTTTCATAACATTTGGTAACATAATCTTATGGTATAGTAGAACTAATTTTCTTTATTTACCTACATTTGATTCTTGATCAGATCAAATATTCAGCTTGCTTGTTAGATTCTGAAGTCTTTCCTGCATACGCTAAATGCTTATTAGAACAGTAGTTTCTCTTCCATCGTGATTCCACTATGCTACAGATTTTCAATACTTCTGTTCGTCCCCCTCGAAGTCTACTTCTATTTTACAATGGTCTTTGAGCACACAATTGTTTAACAAGTAAAAAATTAACGTTTTGGAACATTATCTTTTAGTTTTAGAGTAGCTACACAACGATTTCTGACATTGGATAC